TTTTAATTAACTCCTCTCAAAAGTGTACGTCAAGGAATGGTTCTCGTCCTTTCTGTTCTCACCTGGGAATAATGTGTATATAATATATAAATTTTCATAACTTACCTCTATTGACGTTAGGACTACACATTGCAATTATTTCGCGCTCACCTGCAAACCTGTCAGGATGTTCATTCCAAATCCTTCCAGGAAGAAGTACCGGCGTCGATAACGCAGGCTCATAAAAATATACATGTCTATGTGTATGTTTTTGCCTAATCGGTGCTGGCAACCGGAGAAAACATGCTCGTATATCTCGTAAGCACTTGATGATTGAAGGGGCTTTTGTGATCAAGTTTACTCTTAGGTAACTTTATATACGTCGGAATGATTGAGCAGTAGTTAGTAAAAATGACGTTGCATAACCTACATAATCCATTAGGATTTGAACTGAGATGAAGCACCTAAGTATCGTTCATAAGTAATGTGGTAAATTTTGGAGGCTGTAAGGGATCTTATTTTCACTATTTCGTGGAACTTTGATGCTGCGAGAAGTGCTTTACTTAGTTCAAATTCCAATATTGAAATGCAGAGTATAGGTGTTTCTCTCAATCATCGGGTTTTTGAATTTTTGGACATATATAAAGTTCCTGCAATGGCCCAAGTATATTATTTTACGTAGAGTATATTTTCTTTATCATCTTTGTTGTATATGCACGCAGCAATATGTAGCGTGATAAGAAAATATAGGATGCACATAAGAACACAAGTACTTGTACATTTACATGTAACGCACGTTATGTGGTTAATATTCGACGACAAAATAAGTATATTTCTCTCAAAATGTTTTCACAAGGCATACTAGTGTTGATAAGGTAGTTATGTATAAGCTGGTATGGATATGTATGTATGACCCGTACAAGTATATTATTTTATATAAACGTTGATTCATATGTTCATTAATACACTAATTTATTTGATATTAGCTTACCGACAGTAGCACTTTTTGCAAAATTTTTTGGAATTGTCGTACTCTATAAAGTTCCTTCCTTTATGATCAAACATAGTACACACAATTAATTGTGTACTCGGTAATGTAAAAACTTTTGTTTTATACAACGAGTGACTGAAAATTAAAAAAAAAATGTTGTTGGTTGTGTTCTCCGTAACAGTGTGATTCTGTTATACAAACGAGGCGAATTTTTTAAAAATAAACCATACAACCAGTTAAAAGGAAACAAAAATAAATTTTGGCACTTGTACTTTCTTTGTTTTAAATAACGACACTTTGAGGTAAAACGAGTATACTGAAAAATGCCTATGCATACTCTCATGATGTCTCTTTATCAATCTAAAAATTCATATACGCTCTACGTATGTTAGTGTCTGTTCATATAGGAGGAGGAAGAAAATTCTTGTCAAAAGTTTTTAGATAAGTATCTACATGACCAAATCAAATCAAATTTTTTGGTATTTCTCATTATTGTAATCCGATTTATGCAGCTCTAGATATGTAGATACACACTCTATAGATGTGTAGGTATGTACAATATACATTAGATTTATAAGAAAGCAGTTTTTGTTTGATACACTGACGGCTTAAAACTCACGTTGGTCTCGGCTGCTTTTGTTTTTTACAAAATTGTAAAAGTTTGCCGAGAGTCGTATAATAAATTCCAAAAAATAAAAACACCTTCTTCTCTGCATTCCAAATTTTTTCGGATGAATAACAATGCGTTTGATTTATAATGTATTTATAAGTAGTGTATAGTAGCAATAAAAAGTGCGGCCGAAACAGGGAGTGTAAATCCACTTAATTTTTCCATTTTATTAAGAATCGTTAAGTAAAAATATCATCTTGTCTGCGTGTGCGAGGCACAAACTCGTGGCCTATAATTTCTTGATATCTCTCGCATCCTTGCGTGATTCACTGGTGCGTTTGTACGATGATCATAATGCATTGCATCGTGTTGAGGCATGATATGCGTGTATATACATACCCACATTATTTCATATGCAAGAAATCGAGCAAGTCTTACGTGCAAATGTACGTATACGTGATGTCAAGCGTGATTTAGTATACGTGCGATAATCTCAAATACTATGGAAGCAAAAGTAAAAAACTAGCGAAAAATTGTACTATACTAACAATCCCAATTCGTAATTCTTTTATTTTGCATAAATACTCGAGTATCTTGCNAGTTTAGAAGTAAAAATAAAAGATTGGCAATGTTTTTCATCTATGACTTTACATAATGGAAAATATTTTACAATAATTATTTTTTTTAGCACGTACACAACAATTGATAAAAACAACACGTGTTAAATTTTACATTCCGTTACAATGGTTAAGTACAGAATTTTTAACACTGATGTCATACTTACACCCCACTTTCTCATTTTAGTATGTTGTTCTGCAAGTATTTGATTTTTTTATTTCTATGTAAGAAAAAACCAGTGGACAGTGGGTACTTGGGTACCCATATATGAAGTATTACTCCTTTAATGTTATATGGCAAACAATATAATTTTAAGTATAAAAATACGTTGTATGAAACAATATTGTGTACGAAGGTCGTGCAATTATCGTGGCAATGAGCATACCTATAGTCTACCTACGTTGATTGGGTGTTATTTTAATTAATATCACAGGCCCCCCCGAAAAATTGTCCAGTTTGCCAAGGGAGACCAACTTTTTCTCATGTACTTATGGACCCTGAACCTGAATTTACCATGAAAAATGGCGGCCCAGGATCAAATTTCGGAGATAATCTCAAAAAACTGTTGCAAATGACGTTTTTCGGTGGTTAGAGCTTAATAATAAAAAGAAGAGCAACGATAATCTTTAAAAACACCATGTGTTTATGTATTTTTGCTTGTTCAATCTAAATTTGTCATGATAAAAGAGATTTGACATGCATATTTCAGACATAACCTCAAAAAACTACTAAAACTAAGTTTTTAGTACTTAAAGCTCGAAAAAAGTGTGGGTATGATTCGTTTTCCATCGCAAATACCTTAGCTTCACATATTTATGCCTGCTGAATCTTAATTTATAATAATTACAGAGTTTTGACGTGTCCGGTTCATTGATATTATTTTTAGTACTCATAAAACCCGCACCCTAGAACTAGAACCTGTTCCAATCGAAGGTAAGTCCGCGGTCCTAGGGGTGATAACCCTCGTACCTTTCCAAGCCTGAGAACGAGGGCTTCCCTACTTTGACGAGGACAATTTCAACTCGTCATTGGACACACTACGGCATCATCCTCATGTTCTAGCGTTCCCCTGCAGGACAGCGTGCCTCGCTGGCTTCGTTACCACGGAAGATTGGAAGCGAATCATTCTACACATCCCTTTCGGGCAGTTGTTAATTCCAGTGTCTTTCGTAAAAGCAGGAATACAGGGTACAAATGCAGAAATCGTGTACACAAGATTGTTTTCGAGGTAACATATAAACACCAGAAGGTAGTGTGTTGTGCGTGTGTCTATGCTTACCGTAAAGTGTAAAGCATTTTGCACAAGAGTAGCACATTATAAGTTCAAAAGAACAATTAAAAGTACTCGAACTAATGAGAAAAATGAAACGTGATTTTTAACAAGTTTTCGAAGCTGATTTTCAAAATTTACTCAACTCATAATTTTCATAATACCTTTGGGTTTGAAAAATGAAAACTCATAGGAATACTATTGCATTCATGTGAAGCGATTCGTATTCCGATTTTTCGAGCTTTTAACACAAAAAACTTCGTTATCAGTATTTTTTTGAGGTTATGTCTAAAATCTGCACGTCAAATATCGTTCACCACGACAAATTTAGATTGAACAGGCAAAAATACATGAACATATGGTGTATATATGTTTTTTTAATGATTGTTGCTCCTCTTTTTTATTCTTAAGTTATAATAACTGAGTAACGTCATTTGTAACAGTTTTTTGAGGTTCTTTCCAAAATTTGACCCCAGACCCCCATGGTGAATTTGGATTCATGAGAAAAAGCTGGTCTCCCTTAGCGAACCGGACACTTTTTTTTTGTGGGTAATTAATGTATTTAATGAATTGACGATTATAAACAATATATTAAGGCACAATACAATAAAAATGATATATAGGCTGGCCAGTAAAAGAGTGTGCGCTTTCATCAAATTTTCGTGTTTCTGGTGATTTCAGAACAACTTTCTACTGCCTACGCTGATTACATCTGTTACGTCACGCTCACTTCTATCACATACGATCCCACACTTATTCCTAGTCCATATTTAATACCCAAAATATAATTGTATATAGAAAATTAAGAAAAACCATCCTGTAGTATAGCTTTCTTTAATAGGGTATAGTATTACTTGCCAGTGAATGTCCCTTCAGGACGTTCATCACACATAGGTTTTTTTGACAGATATCATTCAAACGTCAAACGTATATTGAAATAGTATAAAAAATACCCACTAAAAATTGCAGCTCGTTTGACTGTACCATTATTTTATATACGTTACATTTTACAAAATTAACATGTAACCGTATGAAAAAATCGCGTTAAATGGCATTTATATAATTTGTAGGAATCTCTAAATTTTTTTGGTACAAAAGATTTTTTGTATTGGTTTTTGTGTTGTCTCAATTTGGTTTTTAAATGAATTGAGAAAGAAGGGATGAAGTGTGCATAAAAGCATGTATGTAAGTACATCCACATAAGAAAAACAATTGTTAGCTTTACTGTACACATAAGCGTTCCTCTTACTTCTCTGAAATTTTCCCACACTAACTATGTGAAAAACGATCTTAAGTCACAAAATCACTGTAATCATGAATGAAAAAATTGTAAAAAAATAAAACACAATAAAAATTAATTATTGCACTTGTACACTACTAAAAAATTTTGAAACAATATGAAAAATTGTATAACGAATTATTTGAGTACATACTTCTTTTCCTTAGAAATATCATCACTTTTTTTAAGAGTACCAAAAAAATAGTATACTCCGTCAACATCAACCCTCAATCGCCTCTCTCTCTTCTAATAGGTGCAATTTAGACACGGGCGCTTGGGAGTCAATACAGTGCCTGGAACAAGTAGGCGTTTGTTGGTGCGTGAACAAAAAGGGCGAGCCTATAAAGGGCTCTCTAACCCGGGACGCTGAGCCCAAGTGCAACTTCCGGCAAGCACGTCGGGGCCGGACCGGGGAGCCCGACAGCAGCAACACCTCGGGGTCTTTCAATCAGGACATAGACGCCGAGATTAAGGCTTACATGGAGAGCGCCTTTTTAGGTCTGGCAGCCGAGGCTCAGGAGATAAACAAAGCACTGGGCAGTAGATGCCAGGCTATGAGGGAGCGCGGCTTTTTGCCCGCCGTCTGCGACAAGTACGGCAGATTCGAGCCTACTCAGTGCGCCGGGGAGACTTGCTGGTGTGTCGACGAAGCTGGAAATCAGCTCATTGGCTCTGAGCCTTTTATCAAGGGAACCAATATATGCCGTGAGTACATAATACATGTGATCATTATTTGCATGCTGTATAAACGATTACTCTCATCGGTAATTATACTCTTGATCTAAAAAGAGAGTAATTAAATATACTTATAGGACAAATATGTACCTTAGTTTGCACAAGAATATCTGTAAGACCCTGCAACAGCAGCACTGAGCTTTAAATATTTATTCGAGCTTTATTTTTCCTAACTATGTAGACTGGCCTTGCACTGATTCGTTACGCGCGAAATTTGAAATTACTGATACAAGAGGTTATCTTAGGCAACCAGCCAATTACGCAATAGCTTTTCAAATCCTGCGCGTAACGAATCAATGTCTGGCCAGTATGTACCTGTAAGGCAAAGGTAATAGATTGTTAGTACAGAACGATGTTCATAGGTACCCATAAGTATACTCATAGGTGTACATTCATAGACGCTAAAGAGAAAACGGGCAAGGACTCTCTGGCACTTAGTTGCGTTCCTGATTTTATAATTAGTTGATTACAATCTACACACTATGAAGGTGGCAAAAAAAAAATCAATAAATAAATAAAACAAAAAATGAAAAAATAAAATAAAATAAACAAATTAAAAGAAACAAACCAGGGGATATAAATGGGTCATGTTGAAAAATTA